CCTCTTGCTGCAGATTACTGAGGTAATATTTCCTGCGCTACAACTAGAGTGGTTATGGTCTGCAGGCAATCTACCTGACGCAGCTTTTGCCCATGGAGCACGACTGGCATGAAAGACAAGGCACTGGCTCGTGGTGAATTGCCTTTTTTATCACACAGTGGTTACAAAGGTGAGATGATTTTTAATGAGGACAAGAAGTATAACTTTTCCTACCAGCCTGTGGCCATAAGGGCTTTAACAGCTATCATATGCATAATTACAGGCACAAATAAAATAGTTAAAGTCATATACCCTATTATAAACATATATAACCAGAGTCAAATTAAGATGTCAATCTTAAATGTGTCCTTCCACTGGGTTATACAGTCTGGATCTTGTGTGTGTGTGTGTTCATGGCTGACATTTTGCTGATACAGACCAATACTGGCACCCTAGCAGACCTGCTGGTGGTGTGTCCTGGAGAGTAGCCAAAGACAGAAAGAAAATGAGAGAAAGACAAAGAGAGAGGGAGAGAGAGAGATATGACAAGTGACAAGTTTTAAATATCAGTTCATTAGCCACCTGTAAACCCATCTAATGAGCACTCATGGATTTTTCATTCCTTTTAATCGGGTAGAGGTTGGAGAAAGGCAAGTGCACTTGCTTGTTTCCCCTCAGGTTTGCTGTACTTGCCAAGGCTATAATGCACACACATACAAGTCTAATGGCCAACCAACACCCACAAGCTTCAACTGACACATCCTGGATCGATGTAAGCAGGAAAAGAGTGCCCAACAAGCTCCATTAGGCTTCAGTTTGTCCATATGAATATCCAATTATAAAGTAGACTGCTTGTGGGCACTGATAATCCATGTGCATGGAGAATTGTCTTATTTTCTTTTTTGTAGTTACAAAATGACAATGTCATAATGCTTTCTAAGAAAGGCACTGCCATCTTACACTCATAAATGTGTATGTTGTCTAATTTATGCAGTCCAGTCAAAGTGCCATTAAAGGTAACTGATCATAAGTTTGTAAGTCAGGATATGCATTTTAAATGTTATAGAAATGTGTTTGTGGGGAATTTCATATTGCTTTTTACTTGATATGTGCCATCAAGACCATAAGAACCTGACTGCACTTAAATGTTTGTGGTGAACCCTGTTCACCCACTACAATTAAAAAGAAATGTACCAAAGCCTTTTTAAAGCTAATCTGGGTGCACTTCTTCACTTCATTCTCATGTAACCTTTTGAGAGACTATGGTGGTAAGCAGGGAAGGTCAACTAACTAGCTTTAGCCATGAGTTTGAGTCAGCGCATTTATCACTAACTACAGCTATAGTCCAAGTTAATAAACAAATACTATCGTTAGCCATGATTTCATATGACACAAATGTGTAGGATATAGTCAACATTACTATGACAAGAAAATGATATTATGACTGCACTGCTCATATGAAACAGTATCAAACTGACAGCACTAGTAACAGTGATACTACTACATCAGCTTTTACTGTTTGTACACCGTGTCACCGCCTGATTGTTGAAGTGAAAATAAATAATTACAACACCTGCAGCAAACAAACATTTAATGTGAGACTGTCTACAAATTTTAATGTTACTTTTTATTTCAGTAAATTAAACAATAAAAAAAACTAAAAACTAATTGTGACATGCAAAAGTTTAGCAGATATCACAGCTAGCTAGGAAATACCTTTTCTAACCCGTTTAGTATTCTTATTCTTGATTTGGGAAATTTCAGCCACTCTTCCACAGATCACTTCAAGTTCAGAGATATCTAGGCTGTACTACACCTTTAGGATCTCTCCCCAGATTTTTAATAATGTTCTAGTCAGGTGAGTGTGAGTGATTTTCTTGAAGAAGCAGCAGAAGCCAGCCCCTTTTCACCTTCACATTCTTTACTCACTATATTACATTTGCACCTTGAGTATCCTGAGATTTATTGGAGTCATTTTCTGTAAACATCTTCTCCTTCTATTCTTTTTTGCATACTATCAAGGCATGATGTAAATGATTCATTATTGTGATATACAGTGTACCACATTAACCTAATGTAACCTAATTAACTCTTGATGGCATTGAGGTGTAGCTTTATGGTGGATCATCAGTACATCACATTGAATGAGCTTAATACTACTCTAGAGTGCAAATTTCATCTGTCTTACAATCTCACCTTGACAAAAAAATCTTGGCACTGTATCATTATATCATTTTTGATGATCAGAAACTATATGAACAGGTACTGAGAGTTCACTATGTGAACCGTTATTCACAGCTCCGTCACATAAGCTCAAGTGTTCACAATAAAAGAACATTATTCTTTAAAGCCAAATCCGGTTTTTCCATGCACA